TGCCTGACGTCTTTCGGTTTCCCCTTAGTAATTTCACTCACCGGGAATTAGGTTGCTCTTGGTGCACTCCTGTTTTATTACTGGTCTCTAGGAGTGCGCAGTGACCTTGGTTTTGAGTCCAGGACCCATTCTACCTGCTTTTTGTTTTGACAGTCATTTGCCATCATCAGGTCTCAGTTCTCTTTTTTTTTTTTTTTCCTACTCTAAAATAGTCATAATACTATCCCTTTTATCTACTTTCTTCAAAAGACTCAAGTATATGTGAAATTATTTTGCTAATTTCTAATTGGGTTATGCAAATATGAGCGATTGTTACATTTGTCAATAACAAATATTTAGCAGTTTTCATAGACGGTTTCGATTATAGCAATGCTAAGTTTGCAGCTTGCTTCTATGATTGCTAATTCTTTCGGATTCCAATGTCACATTATCACATACATTTGTAGATATCAGACTCAAAACAGAGGCAAAGTTAAGAGAATCTAAAAGAATACACAATTTTCATATCTTCCAAATTTTCAAGACCATTCTCTGACTAGGACTGACTCAAATGTGCTTTATAGTTTTGCCTGTGGGAAGAAATAATTTATCTAAGAATATACAGGGGGCATATTTGGAAGATATTTTATGTTGCTGGATATTGTAGGATTTGGGCTATGCTCTTATCTAAATACATGCATAAGACCTGTTTGTTGAACCTGTTTTGGTAAAATGACTGAGTTAGATAACATCAAGTTAAGAAATGGGTAAGGGGCCGGGTACTGTGGCTGGCTCACGCCTGTAATTTCAGCACTTTGGGAGGCCGAGACAGCTGATCACGAGGTCAGAAAATCGAGACTATCCTGGCTAACACGGTGAAACTCCCTCTCTACCAAAAATACAAAAAATTAGCTGGGCGTGGTGGCAGACGCCTGTAGTCCCAGCTACTCCAGAGGCTGAGGCAGGAGAATTGCTGGAACCCAGGAGGCGGAGCTTGCAGTGAGCCGAGATCACGCCACTGCACTCCAGCCTGGCGACAGAGCGAGACTCCGTCTTAAAAAAAAAAAAAAAGAAAAGAAAAAGAAATGGATAAGAAGAGTCCTTATCTCAGTGTATAAGGTGGTTCTGGGGAAACTGTAATTGAAGTAAAATGCTGAGATGATTTTTGGAGGTAGCATTAAATATAAATTTATAGGAAGTCATGAGCTCTAGTCTGTCATTAGTCTCAAGAAGTTACCAAAGGCCAACTGCAATTTTGAAAATGTGAACCTTAAAAGGTAAATTTTTTAAAATCTCTACTGAAGTTCTCCTACCAGAATTTTATTTATAGTTCTCACGGACAGTGGAACTGACTGTTCAACTGTTTACATTAGCAAAAGAACAAAATATACAGAATTGAGAGCAACAATTGCCTACAGACAGGAAATGCCAAGGAATTTCCCCTCCATTGTTACATCTCCCCCGAGAAGACCTGCTCTTCTGGCCAAAGACTGACTTGGCCCATGGTATTAGGAGTTGGAGCTTTCAGATGAGTGATAAAAGGTTCAAAAGCTTCCTCTGTCTTGAGACTTTCTCCATTTTTCTTCGTTTTTGGGTTGATGTCAACCTGATCCTCTCTTCCATTTTCTGTCTGTGAGAATGCCTAGCTAAAAAGCTATGTGAAAATTAAAGTAGGGTTGAGAAAACACAAAGTTTGAAGGGTTATGTCAAAGTGGCTTTAACAGTCTGGGGCCTATACCTCAGCAGGCAATATTGTATTCCAATATCTCCTTTCATACTTTTCCCAAGTAGAGGACTATGAAGACAAGCATAGAGAATAGTACTGGCATATTAAACAGATAATTTTGTTTTTATGTTTCTTCTTCACTCATTTTTGAGAAGACGGTTAACTGAAGTAAATATATAAATATGACCAATACCTAATAGTTAATATTCTTATCTTTTATAAAATGCTTCTCATTTATTTTTTATAGCTGATATAAGCAATCCTATGAGTTATGCTGTTTTCATTTTACAGTTGAGAAGAATGTATTGAGAAAATTTAATAGACTTAGCCAAGGTCAGTAAACTGAGCATGGTCACAAATCTAGCTTTTTACTCCTTTATTTTGTATGCTTCCCTTCTTGGAGAAGTAAAAGGCCAACGTGGAAAATATACAAAAATGCCAAATATGATAGTTTATATTTAAAATAGAGAGTTGATAAAAATTATTTTTCTGGCAAATTGAAAACTAATACCTAGAAAGACAATCCTGTATTTTAAACCAACCAACTATTAGAATTTCTAAAACAGAAATAAGTTTCCTTACATAGGCTCTGTCTCATAAAAAGGCTGATTGTGTTTTCTTAATGAGATTTCCTAGGTTAAGCTAATCATATTTATGTATTAAAATTTTCAAAGTTCTCAAATTGCCCACAAGTAATTTAAAACATCTGAACTAAATGACTATAAGCGGTGCCAACATCCATTTATGAACTTGCATTATCATCTAGAATATAATGTTGCATAGAACTAATATAAATGTTGACTTTTTTCTTTTCAACCTTCCTTCTGAATGTCAAGCAGATGGTTTGATTTAGGTATCAATAAAGGCACTTAAAGTGTGAGTTAACAATACCCTGAATGGCTTCTAGTAACTGCTGCTTCAAAGCATAGAATATAATAAAAATAAATAAATAAATAATAATCAGTTTTATTAAAGAAGAAGGGATAGAATGAAGAATCAGAAAATAAAAAAAGAAAAATTTTATGATTTCAAGTTCTGAGTAGATAATCTCTTCCAGTTTTGCAGTTTATCAATTATAAATTTAAAATTTGGTTAACAAATATTATTTTTAATGTTTAATCATGACACGATTTCTGTACCTACCCCTTTGCTTTGAGACATTTTTAACTTCCTAGCAAAGAAGAGTTATCCAGAGTCCCACATTTTTAACTTCCTAGCAAAGAAGAGGTATCCAGAGTCCCACAGTCTTGCTAAATTAAGGAGCAAGAGATAAGAATTTATAGAAATTAAGAGTGTTAGAATTCATGGATAAGAGGAATGGAGAGGAGAAAATTATTCAGAGAAAGAATAATAGAAATCTACAAAATGGTTTCCTTGGGTCTTTGAAATTCCGCAAGGATGATCACAGCACAATTGCAGAAAACAAAAACAAAAAAACATTGTATGGCAACATAAAGCTGAAAAATTTCTAGAGTTCACACAGAGAAGGGGATTGTTTTAGTTTCTAGCAGTCAGTGTGCAGAGACTTTACTGGATGCCTGTGCCCTCAGTAGAGGCCCAAGGAAAGCCTTAGACGTGAAACTAAACTACCCTGGAGTAAGACTGTTCTAGACTTGCCGTAAAAAACTTTAGAAACAAGTCTCAAAGACTGCTAGAACACAAACCAACACTCTTCAACTATTACAACCAAGCATAACACTCAAAAATACAGAATTTTAAAAATCTGGAATTCAATAAAATATGATGCATATGCATGAGAAAAACCAGTCAGCTGAAACAGACCAAAATAACAGAGATGATGAAATTAACAAGCACTTTAAAACAGATAAAAAATAGGTTCAAGGGTGTAAAGAAAATCCTAAGCATATTGAGAAGAAAAATAAAATACATAAAAGGAGCAAATGTAATTTCTACATTTGAAAATAAATATAATGTCTAATATGAAAAATTCACTGGTCGGGCACGGTGGCTCACGCCTGAATCCCAGCACTTTGGGAAATGGAAGTGGCTGGATTACCTAAGGTAAGGAGTTCGAGACCAGCCTGGCCAACATGGTGAAACCCCGTCTTTACTAAAACTACAAAAATTAGCTAGGCGTGGTGGTGTGCACCTGTAGTCCCAGTTACTTGGGAGGCTGAGGCAGGAGACTTGCTTGAACCCAGGTGGCAGAGGTTGCAGTGAGCCGAGATTGTGCCATTGTACTCCATCCTGGGCAACACAGTGAGACCCTGTCTCAAAAAATAAATAAATAAACAAATAAATAGAAAGAAAAATTTACTGATGGTTTGAATAAGATAATCACCGAAGAAGAAAAGAGTAATTAATTTGAAAACAAAGCAATACAAGTTAATAACTAAAGCACAACAGGAAAAGAATGAATGGGAAATAAATGGAGCTTCGGTAACCTGGGAAATAATATTGGATGGTCTCATATATGAGCGATTTTGAGCCACAAGGGGAAAAAGGGGGTGCAGAAAAAATTTTCAAGAATAATGGTTACAACATTTTTAAAAAATGATAAAATTATAAATGCACACATACACAATGTTAAATAAAATGAAAAGAATAAACTCCAAAAAAGTCACAAAGCACCCACATCATATTAAAAATGTTGAAGCAATAGAGATGAAGATTAAAATCTGAAAAGCAGCCTGATTGTAAAAGGACACATTAGAGAGGAACAAAAATGCAAATTTCCACAGATTTCTTGTCAAAAATTCTGCAAGCCAGAAGACAAAGACATATTTAAAGTGCTGGGGGAAGGGGAAAGTCTGCCAAACTAGAATTTCTTACCAGAGAAAACTTATACTAAAACTGAAGACAAATGGGCATTTTTTTTTCAGACACATGAAATCATTGTTGATAGATCCACTATATTAAAAAAATGTTAAAGATAGTTCTTCAGGCAGAAGAACATTGGTACCAAACAGGAAAATAACTACAGGAAAGAATGAAGAGCACTGGAAATGGCAAATACATGATAAAAATTAACTTTTTTTTTCAATCTTTTAACTAAAAAAATTGACTTTTGTCCAGTTTTATTGAAGTGCAGTTGACAACTAAAAATTTTATATATTTAAGGTTTACAATTTGGTGACTTGATATATCTATACATTGGGAAATGTTTACCACAATCAAGCTAATTAACATACCTATAATTTCATGTCTCACATAGGTACTATTTTCTGTGCATGTTTGCGTGTATGTGTTATGAGCACATAAGATGTACTGGCTTAGCAAATTTCAAATATACAATACAATATAGTTGACTGTAGTAATATTGTTTTACAATTAGGAGTCCAGAACTTCTTCATTCTGCAAAACTGAAACTTTGTACACGTTGACCAACATCCGTGTCCCACCTTGAAGAGACCTATGTGTCCCTTCCTTCAGCTTCTGGTAACCAGCATTCTACTATGTTTCTATGAATTTAATTATTGTAGATTCCACATGTAAGTGAGATGATGTAGTATTTGTCTTTCTACGTTTGTCTTAGTTCACTTAGCATAATGTCTGCCAGCTCAGAAGACTTACCATAACGTCTTCAACAAGGATTTATTGTGCAAATGGGAGGATTTCCTTTGTTTTTAAAGGCCTACTAATCTTAGTTAGTGTGTCTGCGTGTGAGTGTGTGTGTGTATACACAATGAAATACTAATATACATGCCCAAATTTCTTTATATATTTTTAATCCTTTGTTGAGCATTTGGATTTTTTTAATTTCTTGGCTACTATGAATAATGCTAAAATGAACACAAGGGTGTAGATGTCTCTTCCATTTGATCATATTTTCTTTGGAAATATACCCAAATTATAGTCGTCAGATTATAACGTATTTCTATTTTAAGTGTTTTTAGAAACTTCCATACTGTTTTGTATACTGACTGAACCATTTTGAATGCCCAGCAACAGTGTACAAGGATTCCTTTTACTGCACATCCTTGCCAACACTTATCTTTCATCTTTCTGATAGTAGCCACTTGAACAGGTGTGACTTGATATTTTATTGTGGTTTTGATTTGCAGTTCCTTGGTGATTAGTGATATTGAGAACCTTTTCATCTACCTGTTGATCATAAGCATTTCTTCTAAAAATTTCTATCTAGACATTTGCCTATTTTGCAATCAGACTATTATTATCATTATGCTGAGATTTAGTTGTAGGAGTTCCTTACGTATTTTAAATAGTAACCCCTTATCAGATATGTGGCTTGCAAATATTTTATCTCATTCTGTAGGTTGACTCTCTTTATTTTTTCCTTTGATGTGCAGAAACTTTTTAGCTTGTTGCAATCCAGTGTCCACTTTTGCCTTTGTTTCCTGAGTGTTTGGTGTACTATATGGAAATTATTGCCCAGAGCAATGCTAAGAAGTTTCTTCTTTATATTTTTTTCACGAATTTTACAGTTTCAGGTCTTACATTTAAATCTTTAATTCATCTTGAATTCATTTTTGTATAAAATGTGAGATACGCATTTGATTTCATTTTTGCATGCAAATGTTTGTTTTCCTAGCACCACTTACTGACGACACTATTTTTTCTCATTGTGTTTTCTCCCTTCTAAAGTTTAACAAATAAAAATGGAAACGTAGCATACCCAAATGTATGTGATTCAGCAAAACCAATACGAAAAGTAAAAGTTGTAGTGAGAAATGCCTGCTTTAAAAAAAATCTCAAATAAACAATCTAACTTTATAACTCAGGGAACTAGAAAAAGAAGGACAAATGAAGCCCAAAGATAGGATAAGGAAGGGAATTATAAATACTAAAGGAGAAGTAAATAAAATAAATAATAAGATATTTTTAAAAACAAGTAAATTAATAGTTTATTTGATAAACAAAATAAATCAACACTTAGGTTAAATAAGAAAAAAATATAGAAGACTCAAATAAATAAAATTCTAAATAAAAGAAGCAAAGAAGAGGCATTACAATGTATCCCTTGAAAATAAAAAAAGATTAGATGGGACTATTATGAAAAAAGAAAATATTTGAAGGTATAAACCTACTGGTAAAATTAAGAACACAGGAAAACCCAGAATACTCTAGTAGTATGATTGTGGTATGCAATCTGCTCATAACTCTGGAAATAAGCCCACAAGACAAGTCTATCAAAAACAACAATAGCTACAGCATTTAGTTAAGAGATAGGCAACATACAAATACATAAAATTATACAACATAAAAAGTCTAAATGTGAAGGGATAGAGTTACAGTGTAGATTTTTTCTTCAACTTGTTCATTGTTTGTATCCTTTTCTTGGTAATCTAAGTTGTCATTTCCTTAATATAATGTGTTATATATATAAGATGAATTTTATGAGCCTCATGGTAACAATAACGCAAAAACTATAGTAGAATCACTAAAAATAAAAAGTGACAAATAAAATGTACTACCAGAGAAATCACTTAACGACAAAGGATAAATAATTGAGTAACAAAGAAAGAGTTACAAAACACCTAGAAACCAAGTAACCAAAAAGCAATAGTAAGTCATCATTTATTAATAATAACATTGAATATAATTTGACTCAATTCTCTAATTAAAAGGCATAGAGTGGCTGAATAAGGAAACAGGATCCTACTATGCTACCTATAAGAAGCTTACTTTGCCTGTTGTGACACACAGAGACTGAAAGTGCAGGGGTGAGAAAAAATTCTTCATGCAACTGGAAACCAAAAAAGAGAAGGAGTAGCTGTACTTATAACAGATAAAATAGAACACAAATCAAATACTATAAAAAGAGACAAAGAAGATCACTATATAATAATAAAGGCGTCAATTATTTGGTAGATAAGCTAAAAAAAAAAAAGAGAGAGAGAGAGAGAAGACCAAAATAAATAACATCAGATTGAAAAAGGAGACACAGAAAATGGGACTAGAAAAATACAAAGAATCACTGGAGACTATTACAATAAACTGTATATCAACAAATTTGAAAACCTGTAAGAAATTTATAAAATCTGGACACATGCAACTTACCAAGATTAAACCATAAAGAAATAGAAGATCTAAACAAACCTCAAAAATAATGAGTAACAAGATCAAAACTGTAATAAAATGTCTTCCAGCAAGGAAAAGCTCATAACCTAATGCCTTCACTGCTGAATTCTACCATATGTTAAAACAACGAATACAAATTCAACTCAAACTCTTCAAGAAAACAATGAGGACGAGGGAATATTTCCAAACTTGTTTTATTAGACCAGTATTGCCCTGACACCAAAACCAAATAAGGATACAACAAAAAATGACTACAAGTCAATATCACTGATGAACATAAATGTGAATATCCTCAACAAAATACTATCAAACCGAATTCAACCAAACATTAAAAAAATCACTTACCATGATCAAAGGGAATTCATCTTAGGGATGCAAGGATGGTGCATATGCAAACTAATAAACTTGACACATTAGGGTGACAAAACCGATAACAAAATCAATATGTTTATTTCAATAGATGCTGAAAAAGCATTCAATAAAATTCGACATCACTTTATGACAAAAATCCTCAACAAACATGGTAGAAAATGGTCAAATCTCAAAATGATAAATAACATATTGACAAACATGCAGCTAACAACATGTCAGGTGGGGTAAAATTGAAAGCCTTTCTTCTAAGATCTGGAACAAGGATGCTCACTTTCACCGCTTTTATTTAACATATTACTGGAAGCCTGGCCAGAGCAATCAGAAAAGAGAAAGAAATAAAGAGCATCCAAATTGTAAAGGAAAAAGTCAAATTAGCCTTGTTTGGATGACACGATCTTATATTTAGAAAAAGCCAAAGGCTCCAGCAAAAACTCTTAGAAATGATATAGAAATTCAGTAAAGTTATAGAATTAAAAATCAACGTACAAAAATCAATACCATTTATATACATCAACAGCAAACAATCTGAAAAAGAAATCAGAAAAACAATCTTATTTACAACAGCTACAAATAATATAAAATACCTCGGGATCAGTTTAATCAAAGAAGTGAAATGTCTGTACGAGAAAAACTATAAAACATCAATGAAAGACATTAAGTAGGACATGCAAAAAATGGTAACATATTCTATGTTCATGAATTAGAAGAATCAATACAGTTAGTATGATAACACAATTCAAAGCAATTTACAGATTCCATGAAATTTCTATCAAAATACCCGTGACTTTCTTCACAGAAATAGGAAAAACAATTTTAAAATGTATATGGAAAAGAACACATAATAGCCAAATCAGCATGGTACTGGAATAAGCACAGATACGGAGGCCAGAGGAAAATAATAAAAAGTTCAGAAACAAATCCACAAACCTACAGCCAACTGATATTTGACAAAGGCACCACACACATACAAAAGAAAGGAAATGTCTCTTTAATAAATGGTACTGCAAAACTGAATAACCATACACAAAAGACTGAAACTAGTCTCATATCTCACTATATGCAAAAATCAAACCATGATGGATTAAATAATTTAATGTTGCATCCCAATTTATGAAACTTCTAGAAGAAAATATAGGGGAAACACTTCAGGCCACTGATCTAGGCAAAGATTTTATGGATAAACTGCAAAAGCACAGTCAACAAAAACAAAAATAGGCAAATAAAATTATATCCTAAAAAATTTTGCACAGCAAAGCAATCATCAGATGAAGAAACATCCTTCAAAATGGGACAAAATATTTGTGAACTATTCATCTGACAAGGGATTAATAACCAAAATATATAAGGAACTCAGACAACTCAATAGCAAAACCCAAATAATTTGATAACGTAATGGAAAAAATGATCTGAATAGCTATTTTGCAAAAGGAGACATATAAATAGCTGACAGGCATATGAAAAATACTCGACATCACTAATCATCAGAGAAATGTAAATCAAAACCACAATGAAATATCATCTCATCTCAGTTAAAATCGTTTTTATTAAAAAGACAGGAGCCAGCAGATGCTGGCGAGGATGTGACAAAAGGGCAACCTTCATACACTTTTGGTGGAAACGTAAATTATTACGGCCATTATGGAAAACTGTATGGAGGTTTCTTTAAATATTAAGAATAGAGCTACCATATGATCCAGCAATTCCACCACTACGTAAGTATCCAAATGGAACAAAATCAATATGTTGAAGAAATTATCTGCACTCCCATGTTTATTGCAGCACTATTCGCAATAGCCAAAATATGAAATCAGCCTACATGCCCATCAATGGGTGAATGCATAAAGAATATGCAATATAGATATACACACAAAATGTAATTCAGTCATAAAAATAATGAAATCCTATCATTTTCAGCAACATAAAAAGAACTAGCTTTTATAGTAAGAAAAATAACCTAAGCAGAGAAAGAAATGTTGCATGCTCTCACTCATATGTGGGAGCTAAAAAAAGTGGATCTCATGAAG